GTCTCAGACACTTTAATCAAGGGTCCGTCGAGGACGGTGCATTTTGCCTGGAGGAGAAACCTACAGTGTGTTAAATGATGTTACAGTTTGGGGAACAAGACAGCCTTGAATGATACAGGACAGCCTTGAGAGATACTACAAGGTCATTTCTGTGAGAAGGACTTACATATATAGGGAAAAAAGACCAGATACAGCACCTTGTGGGACATGGTATAGGAATTAAGAAATAGTCTTTGTGCAAGATCATGTGCTGAGTGTTTTCCATGAAGGAACTCACTTAGCCCTTGCAAAAACATGTTGAGGAAGACACTCCTCTTCTCGTGTTCATTTGAGGAAATTGGAGCTCAGAGATGTTGAGTAACTTTCCGAGAATCCAAAGCTTAGAGGTGGTAGCACTGGGGTCAGAACCCAGGTCTGACTGACTCCAAAGACTGTATTTTTCAGAGCCTCCCTGCTCTTCCCCAGATGCCCTTGTTTTTCTTCATAATATAGTGTCTTGTTCAAATCCCATAGTGTGGCCTCTTAGCAGAAAAAAGCAAGGACAGGACGCATTTGAAGGTGTGAGAGTTTTGCATTGGTGCCTGTGAATTTGAACCCTTTTGAACAAGCTACCTTTGTTCTTGTAGCAGGACAGAAGCTTTATCTGCTAGTCCTTGCCCCACTGAGTGTTACAGTTCTTTGAGGCAATAAAAAGGGCCATATTCTTAGAGTTACAAAGATAGGGTCGTGCCTTCTCACAGAGTAGAACATATTAAAGTCTTTTGATGGCTGAATACAAGCACCACTGCAGGCGCCCTGATGAGCTAATACCCACGTGAGACACAAGACATCCTGTTCTGGAAGACATGCTCTTACATTCCCCAGCAGGCCAGTTCCACGGGTTTTATCTGCAAGTAAAGTTGTAATCAATGTCATACTATGCTTTCGATTTCATTTCCTGAAAACGCTCTTATATTTTAAGTCCTTGAGGATACGGGCCTGTGTTGGTGAAAAATGAAAGGTCATAAATGAGAACTATGCGGTCTGCATGGCCTGTTCCCATAACCAGACCAGCTCGTGCCAGGAACACGGCTCCACGTTCTGCGGTTGGCACCTGACACTGAGGGTGGCTCCTGCCTGGGTGGGATTTCAAATGGGTTTCTCTGTCTGCTTTAAAAATCAGAATTGAAATACTTGAGGATATGGATGTGGTCATGCCTCTCTTTATACACTTGGCATCAAAACAGTGGATCAATGACATCACTTTTTTAAAAACAGTAATATTTTAAAACTATATTGGAAGTTACCATTTAAGAATATTCTTAGAAAAAAATGCTAAGCCTCCACTAAAATGTTTATCATATATTTTTCTAATCACTACTTCAAAATCTATTGTAATCCCACCCCTAGAATGGGATAATTTTTATGTATTTCAAAAATGTGTGACCATAAGCCGTGCCTGCCATCACTTCCATACTTGAGGTTTCAGCATGATGACAGCAGCCATGATGGTGGCCATCGCCACACTTGGGTGACATTTGCTCCAGGCAGCTGCCATTCCAAGCACTTTACATGGATTATTAGCTCTTTACTCATTTAAGGGACAGGAGGTGGAAATGAGAAAGTCACTCCTCTGAAGAAAATTTTACCCTTTGCAACAGCATGGATGGACCTGGAGAACATTATGCTAAGTGAAATAAACCAGTCAGAGAAAGACAAGCGTCATACGATTTCACTCATATGTGGAGTTTGATGGACAAAATAAACAAACAAAAAACAGAGACAGACTCATAGGTAGAGAACAAACTGAGAGCTCTGGGGGTTAGGGAGTTGGAGTGGGTGGAGGGATTGAGTAAAAAAGAAAGAAAAAAGGGAACTCATGAGAATGGACAACAGCATGGTGATTGCTGTGGTGGGGAGGAGGGGGATGGGTCTTGTTAATACTCACCAGAGGATATTTTTTCCATTGACTTTTAGAGAGAGTGGAAGAGGAAGGGAGGGGGAGATAGAGAGAAACATCCATGTAAGAGAGACGCATCTATTGGTTGCCTCCGGCACATGCCCCAACCAGGCTGGGATCCAGCCTGCAACCGAGGTTCATGCCTTTGACCAGGAATTGAACCTGAGAACCTCCAGTGTGCAGGCTGACACTCTAACACTGAGCCACACCAGCCAGGGCTAGGGATTTAATTCTTTCTCAGTTACCCATTTCCTCTTATTTTGAGCTAATTTCTCTCATACATGAAGTCTTGTTTTTGAGTCTTTGTAGACAAAAAGTACCCATGTTCCTGGTCAGGCAGAAGGTCTTGTACAGTGAGGTGCTAAACTCTGAAGTAGATGCGTTTTCCTCACAGCCTGCCTGACTCACACAGGGCAGGGCTGCAGGATGTGGGCTTGGACCAGGGAGTTATTAGGACTCTCTGGTGATTTTCTGTCCTTCACAAATTAGAGAATGGCCAGCTAACCCATCATCAAAACTGGATTTGGTACTGACTTGTACCGAGTAGTAAATAAATCCTGCAAATCTAACGCACGGTACATGAATATAGACAACAATATCCTATATA